GGTTCTGTCCACAAGTCCATGGTTCTGTCTGTTCGGTCCGCGCTCGGTACCATGTTATGAATGTGCGTTCGCTGAGCTGTTGTGAAAGCGGCTGTCAGTACCAGTGGCGGCCGGCCAATAGAGGGCGCTAGGGCGCCGCCCCACCACTCACAACTTGCCATGTTACCTTGAATAAAACGTAAAAAAAAAAAAAAACATTAAAATATTTCGAAATTTATGTGTGTTTTATTTCAGATGTGGAAGAAATACTTTATAGTTTATGCTGAGTTGGATTGATTAAGCTCATCAGCGTTGTCTGTGTCGGACTGAGGACGTGAGCCGTCTATGGACTCTCGTTAAAAGTTGTACATGCGCAGTAGCTCCTCTTCAATGCAAGAGATAAGACGATTTGGGGGCGCAGGAGAAGTGCGCCCTGAGGGGGCGGGGTCGCCCGCGACCTGTACTGTCACTGTCTGTGACGTCCGTTTACAGTGATTGACAGGTCAAGCTGTGGGACGAACGTAAAGTGACGCAAAATGGAGAACGAGAAAAAGAATAATTCAGTTAGATCACTCAAAACAATACCGTTTGAGAGAAGATCATACCAGGAGAAGGTTGAGGTTAAAGAGCTTGGACCTGATCAGCCAAATATTACCATTAGTCAGCAGTCCAGCGACAGGGGGAGACGGTACACTCGTACTTTTTCCAGGACCTGGTTCAGCGCCAAATCTTGGCTAGCAGCATGTAGTGAGGCTAATGCTTTATTTTGCTTTCCATGCCTCTTGTTTCAAACATCAAGATCTGACCCAGCATGGATCAAGACAGGTATGACTGATCTGAAGCACTTTTTAGAAAAGGCAAAGAAGCATGAGCAGACTGGTATCCACATGCAAAATGCCCTCAAATTAGCTATGTTTGGGAAGATAAATATTTCATCCCAGCTGGATGAAAGCTACAGGGTAGGGATCAGAAAGCACAATGAGGAGGTTGACAAGAATAGGCACATCCTATCAAAAATAATAGACTGTGTCAAATTCTGTGGTGCATTTATATCTAGTCATCATATTCATAGCCCCCCCAGTAGAAAATTCCACCAGCCGCCACTGGTCAGTACAAAGCAGCCACAGCTGCCCCGGGGTCAGAGTGGAGGATGTGAATCCTGTTCGGAAATGGCATAATTCCTTTTCAAAAACATCTCAATCACTTTCACTTCTCTCTCGCAACAGTGCTCCTCGCTCCCTCTTACCTTTGTTGGTCACGTTACATTTTTACGTTTCTCGCCACAATCCTCCCGCTACCTGTTACATCCAGTGGTCGCATCCAATTCCTACGTTTCAAAGTACTTAGCTATCTGCTGCCACCTACTGATATGAAAAAGTATTACGTGGTTACTCCAAGTCACAACAAGTCAGCACTCGCCAACGTGGATGCGTTTATTTTTTGACAAAGTTTGCGAATTTCTGACGGCACACCAGACAATATTATACGGCACACTAGTGTGCCGCGGCACATCCATCCATCCATCCATTTTCTGCCCTTTAATCCATTTCTGGGTCAGGGGGGTGGCAGTCAGAGATGCCACCCAAGTCTCATAGCACCAGCCCCTCACTGACCCTCTGCAGGTGGTGAGTCCACAGGAGGACGGCTGCTCTCTGAGTGTGAGCATAGCCTTGATCTTTCAGTGGGGGCTTTTGGGCAAAGTGGGGTTAAGTGTCTTGCCCAAGGACACAACGACAGCAGTCATCAGTGGGAGTCGGTGGAGAAGGTGCAGAGCTGGGAATTGAACCCACAACCTTCTGGCAATGCTCTACCAACTGAGCTACTGTCGCCCCCTGCCGCGGCACAGTGGTTGAAAAACCCTGGTATAGATGGACAGTGTAACCTCAGCTCATAGAGCGTATTCAATTTGAACTGACCAAAGACAGACAATTAATATTAAAATGATTTACTTTAATGATTTATAATGATTGACACTTGCAGCGATGAGATCGATTCCACCTGAAGATGATCTCAGATCCCCCGGGGTCCGAGATCAGAGTCAATGACAAAGAGATTTCTTTGTCATTGAACCAACATGCTAATGTGTAGAATGAGCCCACACCGGTTCACTGTCACTCAAGAAGGTGTTGCTGCGGGTCCAAAGAAGTAGGGTCTATCTGCGGCCTGCAACACAGCTGATGAAGAGTATATAACATACTGATTACTTGTAGGTAGTAGTAGTAGTAGTAATCTTTATTTATATACCACCTTTCACAGACCAGAGTCACAAATCAGTTTACAATTGTGGGCATTAGTCCTCTCACTCCACACAGAGATACTGTAGGACTGAGGTCGCCAGTCCTGGCCTATTGTACATGTTTTTAGTGGTAGGGGAAACCGGACTACATGGAGGAAACCTACGCAGACACGGAGAGAACATGCAAACTCCACCCAGAAAGGCCCTGTTCCGACTGGGATTCGAATCCAGGACCTTCTTGCTGAGAAGCGAGAGTGCTATCCACTCCGCCACCATGCCGCCATTTGAAAACTATGCCTCCAGATCCATATTGTGTCATTAATAATTCACAGATACCCCAAAAAAGCAAAGAATTTTGGTATTTTTAACCGCGAGCCACAACGTCTGACTGCTGAGCCGCAACTCATGGCTCGTGAGTCACGGGTTAACAGTAAATGGAGAGCTATACAAACGCATTCCAGTTGATGAAAAGTGTGTAACATACTGATTACTTGTAAACTATTAATCCAGATCCATATTGCGTCATTAACAATTCACTGATACCCCTAAAAAGTAGGGGCGACCGTGGCTCAGTTGGTAGAGCATTGGCCTTTGGGCCTGAAGGTTGAGGATTCGCGCCCACCACAAGACCTACTTCACAACTCCCACTGATGACTGCTGTTGTTTGAAGCCCCCGCTGAAACATCAAGGCTCCTGTGGACTCACCACCTGCTGGAGGATCAGTGAGGGGCCGGTGCTCTGTGGATTGTGTGCAGCTCTGACTGCCACCCCCCCGGCCCAGAAATGGATTAAGGGGATAGGTAATTCTAAAAAAAAAAGATTATCCATCATTTATGGTTCATGGTGAAATTGTCATTGTTATTGACTCATTGACTACCAGACCTTTTCCAGGTCAGGGAAGTTTCAGGAAATTTTACTTTGAAGAGCCACAGAATATTCAGTTATTTGACTATACACCAAGGGCATCAAATGGAGAGATTAACGTTTGTAAACAACATATCAAGCAGAAAAAAGCTGTCTCTGCTATTGTTATTATCCATGCTCGCTATCCTCACTTCCCTCTGCTGAGGGAATTACTGCGAGAAGTGGGGCAATAGGGCTGGAAAGCGGAAGTGCGAGATTTTGCAAGATTTCCACCTGCGGATCCACACAAACCACACGTGCCGGTTGTGTGGTGCTGAGATCGCCAACTTCTTCTTCCTTAATGGATTTTCCTGTGTTGCTTTGGACACATTTCGTCTCTGGGACAAAAAAACTGAGTGAGCGGTCGGAATTAGCTGTGAACTGACCATGTCCTGAAGTTTCTATGACGGGGAGATGGGAAAGGTGCAGGGCTGTGTTCAAGCACACTATTATGCATCAGAAAGAAAATATAGAACCACTATTCCCATGCAAATAAATTGATGTTGTCCCTTACAGCTACAGTATCTTTGCTGCAATTTGGTTCTAAGCCAATGTATATGAATGATCAGTTTTCTATCTGTTCATTAGCTCCATCTCCACTTCACACTCACTGCAGCTTCACATTTGGCCTTTTTCCTTTTTGCTGTGCTGTCAAAAATAACATGATGTAGTTGGGTTACCTATTCATTTAATACTAATATTATGATTGTCCGTTAAACTTTAATGATTACAGCTGAAAAAAAAGCAGCGCATTTGGCTCCATTCCATTAAACCGCCTCTGCAAACAGCTGGCGGTTTGTTTGTATCCGAGCAAAGAACCGGAAGTGCTTCTAGAACGAGACTTTCCAGCCCTATACTGCACTCTACAGAGGTTGACGGATCATGACACGTTGTATAGCTGGATACTGGGTAAATTCTATTAGGTGCTCCAGACATTCTTGTATCTAATAAGACGTCTTTGGCAGTCAGTGTTTGCAATATGTCACCATTCTGACAGTACACCTCCATCTCCATCTTCTGGTGGTAGTGACAACTTCCAGATTTGCAAAAGCAATAATACAGCTTGAACTTTTGCACATTTTGTCATGTTTACAACCATAAACAGAAAGATCTTATTTTGTTACTGAAAGTTCACACAGAAAAAACAGACAAATAGAAAACCAAACAGTTGGGCCTGTACAAGTATGAAATGAAATGAGGCAGAACATTTATCCTATTCCTCTTTACAAAACAGTTATGTCAAATTAGATGGAGAGCGTTTGTGAACAGCAGATTCTCACGTCTTTCCACAGATTTTCTATCTGGACCAGATGTAGCTTCGTGTTGGAGGTCATTCTCCTGCTGGAAGGTGAATCTTCACCCCAAGCAGGTTGTCCTCCAAAACATGCTTTCCATCCATTTCTCCAGCTCTTCTTACAATATTCCCAGTCCTTGCTGAAGAAAAGCATCCCCAGATTCCCCCAGCTGAGCAGCTGTACTTTGCAGCTCTTCCAGAGTCATCTTGGGGCACTTGGTTGTTTCTTTCTGACCAGTGCTCTCCTTGTTCCATCTGTTAGTTTTGGTGGACGGCCGTGTCTTGGCAAGTTCACAGTGGTGCCATACTCTTTCCATTTTCAATTGTTGGATTGAACAGTGCTCCATGAGATGTTCCAATCCTTTGAAATGTTGATATAATTTAAGCTATACAAATAAACTTGCCTTGCCTCTGATATGAGCTGCAGCCTGAACATGATCTGTTAGCTCTGAGGTTTGACGTGTGGTTTGTGATGTTGCTGCTGTTTCCTGTGGGTTCTTCTGAGTCTAAGTGCTTTTAATGCATTTCCTCTGCACTGGCTCCGCTCCTGCTTCAGTCTCTGCTGCTGCTGCTGCTGCTGCTGTCATCATGGTGAGCTGCTCCCAATAAAGAACATACTTCCTTTTGCATGTTTGTTATTTTTAAAGGTTTTTGGATGTGTGGTTGCATGAAGAATGTAAAGTTCATTTAAATCCTTTTATTGAGCGAGAAAATACCTTTATATTGACTAGATCTCCTCTCTGTTTTTGTGGAGGCATCAGCCCGAACTTTACTTATATTTCACCACTGTGTACAAAATACGTACTTTTTCTTGTGTTTCATGGGATTGTGGTTGAATGCATGACAGTTATAATTACTCAAACATGCAGCAATAAGACCAGGGGTGTCCAGACTTTTTAGTAAACAGCCCTCTTTTGTTCACCTGAAGAGGGCGAACTAGCAAATGAGATGATTCATGCCGTCTCATTCATGTCTATATTGATTGAGACCACAGCTAAATTAGCACTATATGTAGAATTTAAGAACAGTCAAAAACAATTGTCAGAATATAATAATGCATCAGTTTAATATAGCGCTTTTTGGACACTCAAAGACGCTTCACATGTCAATATTATTCACTCCATACTCGGTGGTGATAAACTACTACTGTAGCCACAGCTGCCCTGGGGCACACTGATAGAAGCGAGGCACACACACCAGACTCATTCTAGGCAATGGGGGTAAAGTGTCTAGCCTAAGGACACAACGGCAGTTTGGCACTTTAGACCTGCAGCCGCCCCACTGTGGAACCAAAGTCAGCTTGGTCTAGTGGTGGGATCCAACCCACGAGCTCAGAGCATGGCTCAGAGGCCAGTGCTCTACAAACTGAGCCACTGACATTTGCCCATAACTGGACCAATGGCTCTAAGTGTTTGTTATCATTCCATTTCTTCTTTGAACTGTGATTCTCTGATCTGTGTTGGCGAATTCATTGGTTTTGTAAAGCTCTCAGAGAAATCTACTGCTGAGATTTAGGGCTATACAAGGATACATTGAAGTGAATTAAATTGAATTGCTTTAAAAGTGTCATAAAGATCCATAGAAGCTAGTACTGTCTCTCTTATCAGCTGTTGTTGTCACAGATCGATCTGATCCTTCAGACTGACCACATCCAGGAACAACAGCTGAACATCACTGTCTCCTCTGACGAAGGTGACACGTGATGCTCAAACATGTAGCACTTAAGCAGAACTAACTTCTTTAAACTTTGAACGTTCAAACCCTTAACCATGAGGAGACTTTATGAACTTTAAACAGATGAAGGGTCTGAGATTCACGAGGTACTGCATGTCTATATTGGTGGAGCTGGAGTTGGCTAGATGACACTGAATCTCTGCTTAGGCTGTCAAAAAACACTTTGTGTTAGCGGCAGAGGGCCACATAACATAACAGATTGTTGACTCGTGGGCCTTGGTTTGGACATCTCTGGCTTTGAGAGGGTGTAAAGATAAGATAATCCTTTATTGGTCCCACAGTGGAGGAATTTCAATGTCATATGTGCACATTACAGCAGCAAATGAGTGCGCATCACACAGGATCTATTATTTAAGAGAATAGAGAATAAAATAATAAGATAATCAATGGCTGGCGCTATAATGTATTACAATAGTGAAGCATTGTTGCTGTTATTGTAAAAGTCATGTTTCTTATTTCAATGTATTTTTCTACATATTTCCTGCTAAAGTAAGTGTGGGATGAGACTGAAGCAAAGTGAATGAGTTCTCCTCTCATGATCCTGAGTCATGTGGGAGTGAGTGAACCTGTGTTTACTGTGACATTTGTGAAGAAGCTCTGATCTCAAAACCTGAAGGACCAGTGTGGCTCCCCTCCTCTTCCCCTGACAGACCAGTCCAGACACAAACACACCGAAGAGAGACCAGAGAGAGACCATGAGACCAGAGAGAGACTGGAGGGAGAGACCAGAGAGAGACCGCAGAGAAACCAGAGAGAGACAAGAGAGAAACCAGAGAGAGACCAGAGAGAGACTATGAGACCAGAGAGAGACTGGAGGGAGAGACCAGAGAGAGACCAGAGAGAGACCGCAGAGAAACCAGAGAGAAACCAGAGAGAGACCAGAGAGAAACCAGAGAGAGACCAGAGAGACCAGAGAGAAACCAGAGAGAGACCAGAGAGAGACCGGAGGGAAAGACCAGAGAGAGACCGAGGGAGAGACCAGAGAGAAACCAGAGAGAGACCAGAGAGAGACCGGAGGGAAAGACCAGAGAGAGACCGAGGGAGAGACCAGAGAGAGACCGAGGGAGAGACCAGAGAGAGACCGAGGGAGAGACCAGAGAGAAACCAGAGAGAGACCAGAGAAAAACCAGAGAGAGACCAGAGAGAGACCAGAGAGAGACCAAAAAGAGTGACTATGAGAGAGAGCAGAGAGAGACCATTATGACATCACCCTCGGTATTACCCATAAATTAGCTTTTGATATTTTCGTAGGAGAGATTATGTTCCTTAAAATCACATGTCTGTGTTTGCAGACTCTGATTTTCAAACTTGGAATGAAAACAAAAGTAATTCTACTCCTCCCTCTGGTGGTATCATAGGGGGTTACAGAGTTACAAAACATTTCCTAACCTTCAAACATATGTCAGCATATATCCTACAGAAAATACTATTTCACATTTGAAAACAGGAAGTGACATGTAAATAGTGCCATTATAGTTTTTAATGGTTCAAATAATTAATGCTTGATACTTCTTCTTTATGTATCCCAAACAGAGACACAGCTTCAACACACACACACACACGCACACACACACACACACTCACACTAATGAGAGACGTTTTTTTAAAGCTGACATTTCACATTTTCTAAAGAGAGGAAGCAGCAAAGCCTGAGGGACTTTCTGACTGGGGCGGCGCTTGTAGAGGCTTGGCTTGTTTTGCTTTTCTCCAGTCTCTCTCTTCTTTCACACACAACACAGCACACACACAACCCACACACACACTCTCTCACCGCTGCTTTTGTCCCCAGTCTGCAGCCCGGACAATGCCGGCGGAGATCATGGACAACTTCCAGACGGTTCTGCGTTTCTTCATGAACCAAAAGGCCACCATCGGCTACAGCTTCATGGCCTTGCTCACCATCGGCGGAGAGCGGGTCTTCTCCATGGTCTCCTTCCAGTGCCCCTGTAACCACGACCAGAACTTTGCCTATGGGATCACCTTCCTGTTGGGGCCCGCCGCCGTGCTGCTGGTGCTGGGGCTGTTCATGAACACGCGCTTGTGGAGGCTCTACACCGGCTGCTGCCTCAACCCTCTCAAAGTGCGTCTTTTTCGTTTATCATTTAACGCCAGGACTCCCAACTGGTAGCAAGCTGCAAACTGTATGTTGCTATGGTTACTAGTGCTTGCTTTTCTCTACTCCATTGCAAAATCAAAAGATCATTTGGTAAAAGTAAAGCTATAGAAGTAAAAGCCTAAATCACAACTGTCATCACTGAGGACTGTTATTTATTCTTCAACAACAGATCAGAGAATCAAACAGTTCGAACACAGGAAATGCAATAATAGCAAATACATTGACATTGGGGGCGAGATGACCACTGTCCAGAAATATTAATAAATGGCCTTAAATGTCCCAGATCATCACTGTCCTTAGATCCTTAGAAATAATGAAGAAAAACAAGTTCTCCTCCTCCTGGTGGCAGCATATGGGATTACATGTACAAAGCATCTTATTCCCGTCGTACTAATTTCACCATATTTTTTTGTGTGTGAATATATTATTCCAAATGTTAATCTAACAGATGAAAAGATAAAGTAAATTGTCTCATGATCATTTCAAAGTACAAAAATAATTCATAACTTTTCTTCTTTAAGTTCAAACAAAACAAGGCTAAAGATGAACAAAAAAATCCCACTTGAATTTGTGAAAATGTGTATTTGATTTTATGAGGATTTATCGATACAATACAATACAATACAATGTATTCTTGTATAGCCCTAGGTCACAACAGAAGTCATCTCAGAGACTTAACAAAACCATTGAAATCACCAACACAGATCCGAGAATCAACAGTTAAAACGAAAAATATCATACAACTATATATATCTATTGCACTAAAAATAATCGATGGAACAAATGTCTTTTTCAAACTCAGGTCTGACAATATGTTTTAGTGAGAAAAGACCAGAAACATTCCCAGTTTTATGGGTGTTTTTGTGAGGGTCATAAATGAACCGTTACTGCTTCATTCTGAGGAGATTTGGTTTTGTGTAAAACAGACGGTGTTTATCGTCGAGGAAAAACACTGAAAACACGTGTTTTCAAACTGTAAACAGTTTTCCTGGAACATGCAACCTCACAAACTGAAAACAGCTGTATCGACTGTAGCGCACAGGCCTCTTGACCTTGTGCAGCCATATTACTTGCATTTCTGAGTTTATCACCCATTCATATGCAGGACACGTGGTAACTAGAACACACTAACAGAAGACAAACCGACTTCAACCATTTGGTAAAGGCCCAATTACAACAAAACTATAGGGCTAAAATGGGGGGGTAGATAGCACTTGTTCTTCACGGCAAGAAGGTCCTGGGTATGATTCCACCTGCAGCCCTTTCTGTGTGGAGTTTGCACGTTCTCCCCATGTTTCCTCCATACACTCCAGTTTTCACTACTACTAAAACATGTATAATAGATCTGGCATGCGCCTCCTGTGTTGACCTCGCTCCCATCTCTGTATGAAGTGAAAGACAAAGGCCCAAAACACGACAATTTTAAAGCGCTTTGTGACTGTGTAAAAAAAAAAAAGACATAAACATAAATAATTTGTGCTAGCGACTAAAAAGAGACCAGAGACCTAACTTGCAAGTATAAAATCTCTAACTTTTACATAACAAAAAAGCAAGAATAAAACAATGTATTTTTTAGTGCAATAAATATATATAGTTGTATGTTTACATCTTGCAGCTTCAGAGTCTGTGACAAAGTGACTAAAGTGACAGTGACACATGTGGTTCTATATTGGACATTCTGACATGACTTCAAAGGATTGCACAGATGCCCGACATTGGTGTTGTTAAAAGTTGTCAAAGTTACGTACCCCAGCTTTATGTCTCCTTGATCACAGTCTCGCCGTCTGTCCTGTAGCTGTGTCCGCGCGGGAACTGCCTGAACTGCCTCTGCGTCTTCCTGAGCATCCTCTCGGGGGCGTGCGTGGCTCCCATCATGTGGCTGTCGGTGGCGCTGCTCAACGGGACGTTTTACGAGTGCGCGGTGAGCGGCCTGGACGACAACGTGGTGGTGGATCTGTTCTGCGTCAACAAGACCCTCAAGTGCCGCGAGGAGCTGGCCCACGTGCCCTGCGACCGCTCCAAGCTGACCAGAGACGAGAGGATGGAGCTGCTGCTGATGCTGCGAGCGCAATCACAGGTGAGAGACCAGAGAGAGAGAGAGACCAGAGAAAGAGCCCAGAGAGAGACCAGAGAAAGAGCCCACAGAGAAAGACCAGAGAGCCCAGAGAAAGACCAGATAGAGAGAGCAGAGAGAGGCCACAGAGAAAGACCCGAGAGACCAGAGAGAGACCACAGAGAAAGATCAGAGACCCCGGAGAAAGACCAGAGAGCCCAGAGAGAGAGCAGAGCCCAGAGAGAGAACAGATAGAGAGAGCAGAGAGAGGCCACAGAGAAAGACCTGAGAACCCAGAGAGAGAGACCACAGAGAGAGAGAGAACCCAGAGAGAGAGACCACAGAGAGCGAGAGAGCCCAGAGAGAGAGACAGCAGATAGAGAGAGAGCCCAGAGAGAGAGACAGCAGATAGAGAGAGAGCCCAGAGAGAGAGACAGCAGATAGAGGGCCCAGAGAGAGAGACAGCAGATAGAGAGAGAGCCAAGAGAGAGAGCAGAGAGAAACCAAAGAGAGACCAGAGAGAGAGGCCAGGGAACGACCAGAGAGAGACGAGAAAGAGACCAGAGAGAGACCAGAGGCCAGAGAGGATACCAGAGAGAGACCAGAGAGAGACCAGAGAGAGAGAGAGGATACCAGAGAGAGACCAGAGAGACGAGAAAGAGACCAGAGAGAGACCAGAGGCCAGAGAGGATACCAGAGAGAGACCAGAGAGAGACCAGAGGCCAGAGAGGATACCAGAGAGAGACCAGAGAGAGACCAAAGGGAATGGCAAAAAAAAAAGAGTAAAAATTGTTGGCTTTTATTCAGACCAGAGTAGAGAGGATGCACGGTTCCAACCAAGAAAACCAAGAGGATATCTATCTATCACTCTATCTATCTATCTATCTATCCATCTAGATATCTATCTATCTATCTAACATCCTATAGTTGCTTGCAGGTGTGTCTGGTCTCTGCTGTATCTGTGCAGGTCTCCACACGCTCCTGTCTCTGGTTGAATACTTTCTAAAGCTCCACCGCTCTGTTAAACCCACGTTTTACAACCAGCGAGACAAAGCCAAAACGCTCAAGTTTCATTGGCTCATCCCTCAACTTTCAAGCAGCTAAAAAATACTGTCCACACAACCAGTTGAAGTTTAGTTTTTCTCAGTCGCTTTGGTGCATTTTTCACATCAGACTTAAACTTCTCAAAACTATTAGATCAACCTCCACAACATTGGGTCATTGGTGCACATTATCATGGCAGTTTCTCATTCCTATGAACACATTTCAAATGCTTTCGGACATGTATCAGTTACTTTCATACAATTCTCTGCTGTTTTTTAACACAATCATTTGCTTCTGTCCTGTCAGTCAAAATAAAAAAAATACTTAGTCATTCACTATAAAACTAACTGTCGTCATTTCATCGCTTTGGTCATCACATACAAAACTGTTGAACTAGTTCTCAAAATCATATTTGTCGAGTTAATTTCATACATTCCTTTATATTTTTTTCCTGTAAATCTTTCCTAAATTTTGCTCAGGTGAATTTCAGCTTCACTCATGAGGAAGTGTGTGTTTTATTGTTTACATTTGTCACAGTTCTACCATAAAGATATTCTGTATGTTTGCTCTATGTACATACTGTTTGTACACAGACATAAATACATACATGCAGTACACAGACATACATACATATGTCACGGGGGTGAAGGGCCCGTACAACCCTATTACTGTCCAATGGGGAGCACGCTATTAATTGACATTCAACACAATCGAAAGGAATAACAATTTTATTTAGGCACAATTAAAATTAATTATTAATACTATTATATAAAAGACTGGGTCCCAATTTAATAATGCTATTTAAAAGAGTCGTGAACGTCGTGGTGCGCCCCTCAAAAGCCGGTGCGCGCGCTGCTCCTGGTCTGCTCGGGTGCGCCGCTCCCGTCCGCCAGTGCGCACGGGTCTCAGGGCACAAAACGATCCACAGCAGCGGGGCTGCCTGTGTAGAGAGGGAGGGCCGTCAACACACTAGGCCAGTGACAGGGGGGAGGCTTGGGCTGGTGGTGGTAGGGGCTACAGGCCCGGCTCACACAAAAAGAACACAGCACTCCAAAGAACTAAAATAGCCACAGCCTTATTCCCACAACCACCGCCAACGAACAGGAAAGCCACTTAGCTGCGAGGAGGGGGGTCGCCGTACTCTCCCCCTCCAGTTCCCACGACGCCTCCTGTCACCGGTGTCTCCTCCTCTGGTCCACTCCGCCAGGCTCCGTGCGCGATGTCTCGTGCGCGCTGGTTGCTCTGTCCCGATCGCTGCTCGCTCTGCCCCATCTGCTCACTCCTGCTCCGGACACCTCTTCCATATCACACTCACACCTGTGCTTTCTACCTAATTACACACACGCCCATCACACACGCACACACGCACGCCCATCACACACACGCCCATCACACACACGCCCATCACACACACGCCCATCACACACACGCCCATCACACACACGCCCATCACGCTCCCTTTGTCCACCTTGTGACATCCTCCCCCACTAATATGTTCTAGTCCCTGGAACATCACTCATGCGGACACAGGGAACAAGAGGTCTAGTCCCTAAATCTTGGAGGCCGCACCCCCATGTTGGGCCTCTGGGACCTCCTTGGTTCTGGTGGGGGCTCTGGGTCTTCTTGTACACCCCCCACCAGGGGCACCATAAATCCCCAGTGTGGCAATGAGGCGCCACGATTATAGTCACCTCCATGTTCCGCCTCTGGTTGTATGTAGTTAGGGCATGGTCTCAAGTTGTTGCGATGGATGACTCGTTCAGGGCCATCTCTTCCTTCAGGACGCACACTATAATTTGGGCGTTCGGGGTGGAGCCTGGTTACAACAACATGGGGTCTGGTCTGCCAGTGGTCACCCAGTTTCCCAGTCTGTCGCCTCCTGTGGTCACGCACTAGCACGCGCTCTCCCGGTAAAAGCGGGGCCTCCTTTGCAGTGCGATCATACAGTCTTTTATTTTTTTGACCTGCATTCTGAAGGCTCCTTGATGTCTTCTCGTAAGCATACGTCAGTTGCTGTTGGTGCCTAGTAACCCAGTCTGTAGCGTCCATAGGGGCTTTGGGGCTAAAACCCCCGGTCAATAGGTCAACTGGGGTCCTCATGTGGCGGCCAAACATCAAGAATGCTGGTGCGTATCCTGTAGAAGCATGAACAGTGTTGTTATATGCTTGAATTAGTCCAGGTAAGTACTCCACCCATCGCTGGCGTTTCTCTACTTCAAGCGTGCCCAACAGGTTCAATAGAGTCTGGTTTAGCCTTTCACAGGCTCCGTTCCCCATTGGGTGATAGGGTGTCGTTCTACTCTTAATGCACCCGTAGAGCTGACAGAGTTCTTCTTGGATTAATCAACCCTAAATATTGGGAGTGTGTCTGTGTTTGAATTTGGTGTTAGCAAACGCCACCCCATGTTCTCCCACCACTACGCAATTCAGCCTTTTGTGTCACTTTAGGATCTCCTACTCCCTGTGTCTGGCATGCTCTAGTCTTGTACATTTCCCACTCAATCAAATAGTTGTCATATGATTGTTGATCTTCTGGATGCCTAAAAATATGCCCCTGTGTACAGTGTACGACATCTACTGGAGAACCGCAAGTCCTTGCATCTCTCAGTAATCCATGGCAAAAATGGCTTAACTAGTTCATGCAAGTGTGTCATTGGATTCTTCACTACCCTCTAGCCAAATAAACGTGGCTATGTTATCGTCAATTTTTGGGGTTTTAAGATTTTTTTCCTGCTGGAGCAACAGTTCAGTTTTCGAGACCACAATCCTGTATTAACATGCCCAACTCATTTGACACTTCAATTTCATTCTGGAAAGAAATATCCAATTTCAAAAGTTTTATCAAATCCCTTCCCATTAGGTTGTGGGGACAGTTTGGGGCTATTAGAAATTCATGTTGGAAAGTCTGCTTTACTCCTGATTTTATAGGTAACTGTGCAGTCTAGAGGTTTTGAGTACAAAAACTCTTGTAGCCAAACCATTAAATCCAGATACGATTTTCCACTTTTGAGAGGGCTCTAGACTGCATTTTAATGAACTAAATGTTGCTCCAGTGTCTACCAACAGTTTCTGAGGCTGTCCCTCAATTGTTATTGTGATAAATTTTGGAGCCACGTTAATGCATCCCTCTCTATCTGGACCACGGCATCTTCATTTCGGTAATAAACTGAGTTGATGAGCAGCGACCTCTGGTCTTGACTCTGTCATCGGTGAGTGGTCATATACTGTGGCTGTGGTTGGCCCAAGACCATTGGCTGTTGTGGTTGTACCTGTTGAGGTGCCTGATACATCTGGTGTAAACATTTGTGGTTGCTGTATGGCTGTATGCGGTTGTGCCTGGTGCACTTGTGGTTGTTGGTATGGCTGTTGTGGTTGTGCCTGGTACACTTGTGGTTGTTGGTATGTTTGAAATGGAAACTGCTGCTGACCTCCTTGACCCTGCATGTGTTGCCATTCCTCCCGTTCTGCAGTTTCTTGCTATATGTCCGTACCGTCCACACCTGTAACACTTCATGTTTGATAAATCTCTGTCCTGTCTAAATTGTCCACCACCTCTACCTCTGCTATTCCTGGGGAATGTCTGGAACCTCTGTCCTTGATTTCCATAGGGCATGTATCCATTCATTTGCCATTCATACTCTGGTTGCTGCTGTATCTTGTCCAGTCTGTATAATCTGCTGTGGTTGCATCACCTGTGTCTGCGTCTGAGGCTGCAGTGGACTTGGATTACCACTAAACAACATTTCTGCTTTCTCCACTTTTTCTGGCTTTGGTTCAGATTTTTTAATCTCTTTAACTAATTCCTTAATCAGTGACAAACTATCATCAGTTTTGGGCTGTTTTCTTCCTAAGTAGCTTTTTTAATAGTACAATATGACCTAACAAAAGCTGGCGAGTCAGTATCCAAATTCAGAATGTGTTTTTCCTTCTCAGCTGTCGGTAGTTCCCTGAGCATTCGCTGATAGAACATTTTTTTGATCAAATCATAGGTTGGGGTGGACTCTCTTGGATACAATGCATCAAACTCCTTATTTATTCTATGCTTCATGGCCTCGGCTGTCTCTCCATCTTGCACTTCTAGATTTATGGTTTCCATAGCATTCATGGGCACTAAGGAAATAACGTTTCCATTTTTTCCATCACAGCTGAATACCATGCTTCCACTGAACAGCTGTTTGTGGCTCGAACTGCAACATTTTCAAATCCTGTGGACATGATTGGAAGATGGACACCGAGAACGGTAGTGAGATCATTTAGGGTTAAATTTTGAGCAGGATAGTGTTCCAGGATTGACAACAAACATGCTCTGCCCCCATACTGCCTTGGGTCTTTCATTCTCATTTTTATAGAGTCAATTTCAGTTATAGTGAGCGGTTTACATGTCCTGATCTCTCTGCCGGACCTAGACGTCGATACCACAATTGGACACATCGACACATCTTCTCCTTGTCTGCGCCTAGCTTTCCTCTTGTTCTGTCGCCTTTCCTGTTGATAATAAATTTCCCCACTCGTACCGTCGTCTTCTGAGTGTTCAGCTGTTACAAACGCATCTGAGCCGGTCATCAATAAATCTTCGTCTGACGAGCTTGATTCTGCATCTATAGTCTGATTAGATCGAGTAAAATAACGATGCTGTCTTTCTTTTCTAACTGTAAATCGGCTTCTGAAAGCTGATTCTTAAATCTCGTCTTCTTCCTAGCCCCTGAGTGCTGGTCCACTCCCTTCTGGGCCTCTCTGTCTGCGCCCCCCTCGTTCCTCTGGGCTGTCACTCCTCCCGCCCCCTGCTCTCTCAGCTCTGCTCCTTTCTCTGCCTGGGAAGTAATCTCGTCAAATTTGGGACTAGAATGACTAATAAAGTTTTTTCCATTAAAACCATTTGCAAATGAATTTCCCCTAGTCCCTGGGGTATGCTGCAAGTGAGATGGGCCTCCCTGAATCGTGTGGTTTTTAAGCTCACTTTCCAGTTACTTGTCAATGTGTCATTAAATTGTCTTTCAGCCACGGTGCCACTTCAATGTGTTTCTCTCTTTGCTCTTTTGAGAACGTTTCTCCTAAAACTAATTCTGAAATCAGAGTTAGTTGTTTCATTAACCCTTCACTTGGACTTGGAGGTGAATTTGACTTAGCTAAAATACCATCTTTCTTTTTTTGATTTTAACCATGTTCTAACGCTCCTTGTTGTTGTATTTTTAATCTCTGTTGTCCCCTCTAAATACTGTATAATCCCCTTTATCCACTCATCTAATGTTACAGATGCCATGTTTTTCTACCGTCTAGATTACAAGCCTTGTGTTATCAATATCAATGTAAAGAATCAGCAATTGGGTGCGTAATCTTAGAGCGTCAGATCGTGGTATCTCCCCGTTCGACCACAAAATGTGGTGGGGAAATGTACGCACGAATCGTGACCCCGTCCTACGCGACCCAAATTACTGCGTTCACTGTGACCGTTTGTGCAATGGTCACTTCCACAGAAGACATCAATCACTCATTCACACCAAGAGAAAAATTAAAAAGTGAGAAAAGTTAGACACTGTCCCTGTCCTTTCCCTTATTGTCAATTAATTAAAACACACAGTTTTCTCCTTCAACTATTAAATCACTGAGATTACACACAGTTCACTCCTTTTAACTCATAAATCACTTAGATCCTCACACAGTCCTTTTAGGTTGACTATCAATCACTGAGATAACACACAGTTTTTCTCCTTTTCTTAAGTCACTTAGACTTTAGAATACTATTATCCCAATAAATATAAAAATACTTGCAAGCAAATCCTTCAATATTTACCCTACTTTTGTTTGTTTGTTTTTTTTATTTTTAGGTCTCAGGTCAGGTGAAAGGAAAGATTAATTAGTTGGTAACAATCTTACCGTTTTACTTTGGCGCCAAATTAATCTTTTCTCTGACCGGTCCTAGTGTCTCCTGTCGAATCCTGTTCGAGCGACGCCAAGTTCTGCAGTAATTTGTCAGAATTCCCCCGCCCCAGAAGCAGCAGAGAGGCCGCAAACACAGCAGCCCTTCGTTCTGCAGGTCCTTTTAGTTCAACAAGAGACAAAAACCAATGTTAAAACAGTAATAGAAATGACAGATACCAAACCTGATTTCAAAAGGTTATATTGAAGATTTTGCAAGCAATATTACAAGATAACGGTCTGCGAACACAAGTCTCGCTTCGCGTTCAAATAAGGAGTGGCCCCGGGGACGTCTTTCACCCTCCTGGTCAGAAGAAAAAGAAAAAGCCCCCGTGCCTCCTCCTGTACATCTTTTATACTGTACATCCAAGGTCACTGACATCACAGATTCGTGGACTCTATGACTCCTTCTGGCCAGCTGCCAAAGCCTGCACCTGCTCTGATAACAACAGTTGTTTTTCTCACTTTTCATACAGACTAACCTTGAACTCACTGCTCTTTGAGATTTACACAAACAAGTGCTAATTTGGCAACAGAAACAATACTAAACTGATCTTAGTTTTAACTGGTGCAGGAGTTAATATTCCAACATACCACAGGGCTCAACCCTTGGACCCTTCTATCTTCATC